GCTAAAATTATTTGGGTTTCGTATTGCTCCACAGTGGTTACCGTTTTAAATATATTATTTTGTATAAACTTCTGTGTTTCTTTTAACTATACCCCCTTTTTACTTTCTGTATTCAGATAAGGAAAGTATAGGAATCATGATTTTTTCAACCTCGAGTTTTCGACGGTTTTTTACGTTTTGGGGTTCCCTGAATCCGTTTTGACTATTTTCGCACTCAGAAGATTGAGCACTCTGCCTACGGCGTGGTGCTTAAATTTTGTCTTCGTGCGATATGGCCATCATATCCACTTTTGTTGCACAAACTACTATTTTTTAATGCTAACAAATTGTTCTCTCGATCGCGAGCTACCGGTAGCTCGCGGAGGCAATTCTGGTATCTCTCACAACGATTTTAATTTAAAAAATACAAACTGCAAAAATCAGAGAAGCTTCCGAAAATTCCACAAAAAAATCTAATTGTCATAATATTAAACTTAAACAGCGGCAAAGTTGCGGTGAGCGATCTGCCGCTGGCGTAATCAAGCTAGAATCGGCTAGAACCGACCAGCCGGACCAGCGCGTTAGTGTTCGAGAACGATCAGGATTAGCATTTATCAAAAAGCTGGAGTTTTAGGAACAAAACCTAATTAACAGCGATGCCAAGCATTTTCCTATTCTTTCAGAAAAAATTCTCAAAATCCATTAGAACCCTATGACAGCAAATATCATGTAGAAATAGTTTCTACCCTGAAGAATAACTTCAAAAATCGTTTTAAGGATTTCAACGAAATGGCTTTAGTAGCGCAGTTTGTTGTTTCACCCTTTATGGAAATTGATATCCAACAGTTTGCAACTTGTGTTATGCAGAACTTTGGCGAAGACATCGCTGCAACATAAATGGAAGTAATTGAGTTTCAAAATGATTTAGCCTTCAAATCGTTAGTCTCAAGTACCAAATGTATATGGCCTATTGTAAGTAAAGACAAATATTCAGTTCTATGCCGTGTTGCCTTGAAAGTGAAAGCATTATTCAGTTCAACCTATTTGTGTGAATCTTCTTTTTCCAATATGAAGTTTATTAAGAACAAATATCGCAATCGATTTACAGATGAACATTTGGATAATTTTATTCGAATGGCTGTATTAAATTATACTGCACACATTAAAAAAATTAGCGATGAATCTGAGTGTTCAATGTTTATGTTCATGATAGTGCGTTACTTTTTTGTTGTTATTATTAACTATTTTTAAATCTTACGTGACATGCCGTTGTGGCTGGATAAAAGTTTGTGTTTATTTTTCAAACACCTTCGTTTGGTAGGTAGGAATGTAGCTATGAACAAGTACGTACTAGTAATATTAGTTATTTTGTTATTAGTTTATTATTAGTACCTATGTATTATGTATTACCAGTTAAATAGTAAAATAAATACATATAATGATAAATTAACTGTGGATTATTTCATTTACGTTGCGTTACGTGGCTTCCGTGTGGGTAGCTCGCTGTTTTTTTCCAAAATTAACAAAGTAGCTCAACACATTGAGAGGTTGGCGACCACTGGATTAGAGCATGACCGAACTGATAAAAAATTGCCCGCATGACAGTATTGCCACAATTCGAGCTTACACGATATTTCAAATTATAAAGATATATGACAAATTATTAAAATTGGGCTTAGAAATTAATTAACGTTTTTACTAAAATGGTTCAAAATTTTATGAAACAACTAGAGAGAGCGTACATCCAGATATCTCCGCGTATTCGGGAGGTTGTCGCAAGAAAATTAAACTACACTCGTTCTAAAAATACACTTCCTCGGATATAGCATCGCGTAAAAGCTAAGAGCGGCGCTATATATATTGTTACAGTTACAAAGTATACGTTATACATCTATATAGGCGTCTCTTCGCGCCCAGGCACAGGCCCAGGCTCGAAATGATGGCCAATAAAATTTAAACATCTCGGGGGCTCCATTTCGCTATCAGGCGACTTGATTGTTCTCTCGGCGTTTTCTCGGTCGCATTCAATTTACCCTTTTTAATAATTTATGTGGCAGATACTTCAGATGTTTAAAAGTCTTTTGTCGTGGTATCTACTTTGTTTTTCACTTGGTTTTCTAACGGGTCGCTTAGGTAAGTAAACAACATTGGCGTCCTGTGGAGGACAGTCTTTACTTGACGGATATAGTTTGTGCAGGAAATTTTGTGACATACATTTCAGAATAATCCCCTTTAAAATCACTTTTGCATCCGAAGAAACCAATCTTCTTTTTTTGAAAACTGCCATTAATATTTAATTATTGATATATCGCAAATAATTGATTAATCGAAAAAAATCGAAAAAAATCGAAAAAAATCGAAAAGAATCGAAAAAAATCGAAAAAAATGGAAAAAAATCGAAAAAACCGAAAAGAATCGAAAAAAAAAAAAAAAAAACGAAAAATCTAAAAGAATCGAAAAAAACGAAAAATCGAAAAGATTCGAAAAGATTCGAAAAGAATCGATAATAATCAATAATAATCGATTAATCGAAAATAATCGATTAATTGAAAATGATCGATAAATCATAAAGAATCGATTATGTTTAAGTAATCTACTAGTTGAAAATAACTGATTATTTATTTTAATGATTGCCCGGCCCTAACGCTTTTAGCAATCCATTTTGGCAACAAAATTATTTAAATAGGAAGTTTTATTTGAGTCATTGGATTTTTTTTTGTTAATTTATAGAAATCTACTGAAATCTAGCAAAAGAAAATTGTTTATTAAAACTAGTCAAAATAGCTGAAAATCTACCAAAAAAGCAGACATCTAACAAAAAAAAAAACAGAAATCTACCAAATGTGGCAACATTGAATTAAAGACTCCCAGTCAGAGTTACAATAACTAATCGTTGAACCAAGCGAAGTTAACTGTCGTGACGTAATCTACGTGCGATGCACAAAATGATGCTAAAAATAGTGTGGTTTCAAGCAGGCACAATGCTGTTTCACGGATCTATTAACCTTTTTAACATTCATTCTCAGACACTTCTTGCGTTCACTAGGCATATTGAACCGAACGAGAATTAGAAGATTTAGCATCAGCCATCAGCCATTGGAGTTCAGATGAAGAACCATTCCAGGATTCTGGGAGTGAGTACGTACCTAGTAATGAGTCCGATAATTTTAGTGAATACAATCAAGAAGAAACTAGTGAAAATAATAATAACAGTGATGAAAATGAAAGTGATTCTTCTGGAGACAGTGACACGAATGATAATATAGCTAATGATGCAGTGTGTAGCGACTGCAAAAATAGACAACCTGCATTCCTCTTCACAGATCAAGGAAAAATAAATGTACCATTTGATCCCAAAAATGCAAAACCCATTGACTATTATCAACTTTTTATATCAGACGAAATAATTATTGAGTTGATCGTTAGAGAAACAAATAAAAATGCAAAGAAGTTTTATACCATAAGAAGAAGTAGCAGGTATAGAAAATGGACAGAAACAAACGTAAAGGAAATGAACACTTTTTTAGGTCTTAGAATATGGATGGGTCTGGTGCATATGCCATCTCTGGAGTCCTACTGGTCTGATAAAAAATATATATAAAAATGAGATGTCCTCGTTTATGACCAGAAATCGTTTTCAATTACTACTTCGATTTTGGCACTTTGGTGAAGATGTTGAAGGAGACAGACTATGTAAAATACAGCCACTGCTTGATCGTGTACAAGCAAAATTTCAGCAAGTTAAAATACCAGATCAGAACTTAGTAATTGATGAATCAATGGTTCCTTTTACGGGAAGGCTAAATTTTAAGCAGTACATTCCTAGTAAATCACATAAGTATGGCGTTAAGCTATTTAAACTTTGTGATCAAGTTGGATATACTTACAAGATCATACCATATGCTGAAAAAAAAATGAACAATATGTCAATCATGGAAGCCTTGCCACAAATACTGTTATGTTCCTAATGAGTACATATCTGGGCCATGGAAGAATGTTGTGCACTGACAACTTTTACACGAGTGTACCTCTTATAAATGAGTTGATTGATCAAAAGACATATTTTGTAGGTACTTACCGCAAAAACCGGAAAGGATTTCCGAAAGAGGTTGTGACTGCTAAGTTAAAACGGGGAGAATGCAAGTCCCTTGAAAGTAACAAGGGGGTAACAGTCCTAAAATGGAGAGACAAACGGGATGTTTATTACGTGTCTTCAAAATTTTCGGCTAATCTGGTACCAACAGGAAAAAAAAAAGAAAGGATGAAGATGTGGTAAAGCCAGAAAGGATAATCCACTATAATTCATTGAAAGGCGACATTGACATATCTGATCAACTCTCTTCCTATCACTCAGCTATTAGAAAGTAGCTGATGACTTAATATTTGGAACTTCCATTATAAATGCTTATCTCATTCGTGCTTCCCTGCAGAAAGAACAAAGAAAAATGAAACTGGACGAATTTTGAATAAATATTGTTTATTCTCTACTGGATATCCCTGAAGAAGAAAGAGCATTAACAC